ACTCATATAGTACAATTTAATTAATTTATTATTATTATTTTTATTTTTATTTTTTTTAGTTACGGTCTTGCTGCCAAAAATCTAAAACATTAAATATAACGCTATGGCCTATTCCAATAGCTATATTGTGGACCATGTACGGTGAATCTTTCTTCGGTGGTGTCTTTTTTTTTTTTTTAATAATTACTTCTGGTCTCTTGGCTTAATACTCATCTTATTAAATTAAGTTTCTGATTTTAAAATTTTTTATTTGTAGTGCATCACAATTTAATTTATTCTACATTTGGTCTATTGTTCAATTTATCGATCAACCTAAGTCGGGAGAAAAAAAGACAAAACACAACTTTTGACGTTTTGTTACCTTGTTTTTTACATTTGGGCTTGACTAGCCTTTAAAAAAAAGTTTTTGATACCTACTTTTTGACTTAGGTTGACTGGCAATTTGAACAATGGATCAATTGCGAAAGAAATTGAATTGTCACGCGTATCAAAATTAGAAATTTTGATAGTTAGGGATCTAATTTGAGAGGGAGAGGAAGTAATATAGTTGTGAGAACAAAAGTGAAAATTTGATGTTTAGGTAATTTATGCCGGATTCTTGTGATTTGTACTATGATTAATTGATTAGAAAATGACAGGGGTCTACCATTTTGTTGTTGTTTAAGTTGTTATTGAAGTGATATTTTCAATTCTTTATTAGAATTTCAAAGAATGTCACTTTTTGTTCATAAATTATAAGAAAATAATATTTGTTTGTATATTAATTATACTATTATTACTTTTTGTCTATTAATTATTTGCGAAATAGCTTTTGTCATTTCTTATTTGTCTGCTAAGTGCCTTTTTAAATCCAACCTAATAGATATCAAGAAAATAAAAAAGGGTCACTTCACAGATAATAGAATGACAAAAAGTGGCCACAGATATAATTATGGGACAAAATTTACTATTTTTCTACAATTAAATGACATATAATTATGGGATGAAATTGACTATTTTCCTACAATTAAATGACGAAAAATGCCACCCTGGCTCCTTTTAAAAAAATGACGAAAAATGCCATTTTCTTTTTATGACAATGAAAAAAATAGTGAAATAAATGTTAGTAATTTGCATTATCAATCATTAAATTGTAGAGTTGGCTAATTAGAGTCTTTGAAAAATAATGCCAAATTTTAATAGACATGTTAATTGGGATTGGAAACGTCATTTCCATGAAATTTTAAAAAAATAATAAAAAATTATGATGACGCATATTAGTCACAAAAACGGTTAGCTAGCCACTTTGAAAGTGTGTCCTACCGTTTTATACATAGATCAGCGAATATGCTAGCCCATACATTTAGGCAACAGATTCACAACCTAATCCCTTTACTTTGTATTTTTCCATTCCTACTTGTATCCTATATGTGTTTCCTATTGCTTAATATAGTTTCAGTTTTTACCTTAAAAATAAAAACTTGAATTTCTTTTAATATTTATTATTTAAAATTATTTTATTTTATTGTGTGGCTGCTAAAATAACTAAGTAAATATCGTTGTCTAATTTCAATGCATAAAATAATTTATTTAGCCCTAAGACAAGTGTGACTCATTTACTTGAGTTTGTGGTTGTCTATAACCTTAAAATACAAAAGAAAAAAAAATGATGTTTTTAATGACATTGACATGTTATTTGGACTTCAGTTCTTATAAATTTAGGAATAATTCTAATATATATATATATATATATATATATATATATATATATATATATATATATATATATATATATATTACTTAAAATTATTACAAATTTTGCATGTGTAGCTCGAATCAAATCTATCAGATATCATATGTAAAAAAAAAAAAAAAAAAAAAAAAAAAAAACAAAACAAAACAAAACAAAAATTACAGTTTCAAAAAACTTTAAATAAAAATTTTGTAATTTTGTTATTTATGAGAATTGAGTGTATATGCTGATATATAATTAATTATTATATACGGAGTATATCTTTTTGAGATTTTTTTTTTAAAAGTGAATAATTATATTAGCCACACAAGGAATATAATTGATAAGGTTTTACGTTGATGGTGCATGGGATTTGAAGGGGTGGCGGTTGGGTGTGGATGGCAATCGTTTGTGGCGTACGTTAATGTTGGATGCTACTATGTTGTCGGCATTCCGGTCGGGGTTCTTCTTGGCTTCAAATTCCAACTTGAAGCTCAGGTAATTAAAAAAAAAAAAAAAAAACACACAAAATTAATACTTAATCTGTCTCATTTTATGTGTCTGATTCAGTTAACGAGGCTTGACTGAAATTACACCACACTCCTCCCAAAAGGTTGAATCCCTAACCAAATTACACAGCACTTAAAGTACTATTAAACAAAACATCAAATTTAAAAATAGTAAGAAATACTAAAGAAAATAAACAAATAAGAAAGAGTTAATTTCACCATTGAATAATAAGTATGACAGATAAAATTGGACAGAGAGAGTAATAATAAGGGAAGTTTCAATTTTTTGTTCATATACTCCGTATATAGATGGTGTGGGAAATCTACAGTCACTACATATAAGTGCACTCGATATCAACCGAAGGGGTGTTAGCAAAAATCAAGCTCATGATCTTTTGATACAAGAGTCATACTTTACCTACTCAGCTACTCTTTTCAAAACATAATAGTATATTTTTAATCCTTAAATTATACTCCGTAGTTGTTAATTAGGGGAGTGAAGTTTTTGGTCCATCCATTAACATGTCTGATCTATTAAAATTTATTGCTATTTTTCAGAAATTGTAGTTGAGTAGGGTTGCACTCAAACTCTATAACTTAGCAGAAAAAATGCATAACACTCCACCTCATTAGGAGACAAACCAAAAACACCAGTACACTGATAATTAATTTAATGACTAAAAGTGGTGATATTTATAATGCCTAAACTAAATTTACTATTATTTTATTAAGTAGAGACCAAAAGTGTAATTTTTTATAATAATAATAATTTTTCTATTATTTGTACATATGTATTTGTAGGGAATCTGGCTGGGATTGCTGGGAGGAACAGCCATGCAGACACTTATCTTAATATGGGTCACTTTTCGAACCAACTGGGATAAAGAGGTAGACTTATAATATAAATAAACTTATGAATTTAAAATTCAATTTATTATATATTTTATTTTTTGGATTTTTGTATTTACTTGTTTGTTTTTTGCATGTTCAGGTTGAAGTAGCACAAAACCGGTTGAAAAAGTGGCAAGCTAAAGAACTTTAAGTTTGTATTTGTCGTTTAATTAGAAAAATAAAGGGAGAAATACAATAATTCTAAACCCAAAAAAAATCCTATTTTTAGAATATGAAATTGAAAAAGAAAAGAAAAAAAAAACATAATTTCCATGCCTTGAGTTGACACTAGTGGTTGTATTTTTTTATTTTAATTTTAATTTTTTTGTTGCTTTTTTCATAATTTTCAAGTTAAATTTATAAAAATTGTATACTAACTTTGATAAATGCTAGCTAATGTTAGGAGGTTTTAAGGGGTATTTATCAATTTCATTCTTTACTTTTTGTTATATTGTATCAGTATCTGCATCTCACGAGATGAGACTAATAAAGTTCTTACCTGATCTATATATTCAAGAGCAACTCTCCTATACATTGCTATTTAGATGAGTTCAAATTCTTGACCTCATACAAATTTAATAAGTGTGATCTTATAATGTTAGTATTAAAAAAAAAAAAGCAAATTAAAATGAATATATAATGTATTATATGTTCTATTAGTCTCAACAATTAGGCAAGAGGCACTACATTTTCAGCAGGGGAAAGCCAATCGTTATGCGTTGGACCCGTGTCCAGCATGCTTGCTGGACACGGGTAACAGTGCCGTTAGGCACTGTTATCTCCTTTTTTTTTTTTTTTTTTTTAAAAAAAAATTTCAGACAGCTTCATTGTAAGAGTATATGTTCATAATTTTATTATTATATGTTAATAACTATACATTCATAACTCCATAACTGTACGTTCATAACTCTATAACTGTACATTCATAACTCCATAACTGTACATTCATAACTCCATAATTGTACATTCATAATTTTCGAAGCTCTATGTTCACAATTTTAGAGCTCTATGTTCATAATTTTATCACTATATGTTCATAATTGTAAGTTCATAATGTTAGAGCTCTTTGTTCATAATTTGATCAATAACTGTACATTCATAATTCCATATTGTAGATTCATAATCTCATAACTGTAGATTCATAACTCCATAATTGTAGATTCATAACTCTTTAACTGTACATTCATAACTCCATAACTGTACATTCAATCTTCGAAGCTCTATATTCACAATTTTAAAGCTCCATGGTCATAATTTTATCACTATATATGTTCATAATTGTAAGTTCATAATGTTAGAGCTCTGTGTTTATAATTTCATAATTGCATAACTGTATATTCATAACGGCATAACTGTACATTCATAACGGCATAACTGTACATTCATAATCCAAAAAAAAAAAAATAATGCCGTTAACGGCAAAACGCGCGCGAAATTTTTTTTTTAACTAAATGACGCGTCTTTTTTAAAAAAAAAAAAACGACGTCGTTTTGGGTCCGTGTCCACAATTCAATATGGACACGGGTCCAGGGCATAATTTGCCGGGGAAAGCATGTTGGGTCATATAGTGGGCTCATTACTTACTTGGGCCTAGTTTGGAAAATAGCCTTAAGGGCCTTTGGCTTATTGATTTTTTTTTATTATTATTATTCCGTTCTCTTTTTACGAGAAATGTTATTTCTTTTGTACTAAAGTTGCTACAATATTGTTAAAGTTATTATTCACATATACTATTATATTTGACCTTATAGAAACACTAGGGGATATTTGGTAAATAGTTGTTAGCTAATTATGTTAGTGAGTTTAACTAGTTGATAATATTGGTTAATTTGTATAAAGATGTTTGATAAATTAACTGTTATCTAATAGATGATTACATGCAAAATGACTTTTTCAAAAAGCTGATTGAAAATGCTGCTTTGAGCAGCCTTTTGAATTTTGCATTTTAGAGTAATAAGCTCTTACAAAAAACTAATTAATCAAACACTTATATTAACTGTTTAACTAAGTCAAACAACTAATAGTAATCAAATAAACTAAAATTAACTGATAAGCTAATTATGTTACCAGGCTTAACAATCATATTATCGTAATGTCTCTACCAAAAGTCTGAAGATAAGGCAAGGAAAAGTCAACCTTTTTCGAATATCACTTTTCAATAATAAGAAAAAGGTTTTTGTTATATATATATATAACAAAATAAACTTGTCATTATTATTTGAGGATATGTATTAAGATAAATTTTGTTCATGTGCAATCATGTAAATTGTACTACGGAGATTTTGTATGACTGCTTCAACTGAAAATATATTTGCAAAAATTAATTACTTAATTTTGTGTATAATAATGATGCTCCATGCACCCCTTTAATCACTATTTTTGGGATAATAATATCTTATTTTTTGTCAAAAACCTTGTGATTGAGCAGCATAGTTGTGACCCTTCAAATAAAAAATTTTAAATTCAAACTTCAGTGTTTATGTATAAATCAATTCTACATTGTAATAGAGTCAATAGCATTAAAATATATATCTATCTTACCTTTTCTGTTTTCAACGTTGAACAAATGTTATTCCTCTTTTTTTTAAAAAAATATTCCAAGTGGTGGGTTATATGTGGGCCTCGACGCCTCGTGAGACATGGACTTTGAAACAACTCCCATTGACCAAACAACTATACAAATGTACAACTTTATCTTTAACCTTTGGACTAATGTCCCTTCGGTAATTGACCCAACTTTAGCCCAAACACAAAACGTTGGACATATCAAACATTCAATGAGGAGACATTTGACCGTCAAATCTTTCGGCCACAACGTAATGATGTGTTGAACAAAAAAGGTGATGGAAACTTGTTCATATGCTCATCCCAATAGAGAAAAATTTTGTCATTTTCTTTTCGCATGTGAATCTATAGTTGTCCAATTATCATTGCTGGAAATTATGAAATTTCCGACCACTTGAAAGTGATATTAAATCATGTTAAAAGTAAAAAATGGTTAGAAAAAATAAAGTTTTTCCGGATATCAAAAGTGATCGGAACAAGACTTTCGACTTGATTTAATATCACTTTCAGGTAGAAAGTGGTCGAAAATTCCATAATTTCTAGCAGTGTATATCGATTTCAGAATAGAAATATGAAATTAATGGAATAAGTATTTTTATAAAAACCTAATATAAGCTGATTATGCAAACACTCAAGTTAAGATTCTAACTTTGATCTATTGCAAAATATTGCAGAATTAATGTGTAAATGTATCATTTGCATGCTCATCCCTTGAGAAGTCAATGTATACAACGACTTAATCTAGATGGCTCACACTTCATACCGTTCTCGATATCAGCCTATTAGGTAATCCTTTTTCCCATTTAAACATAATCTACATACTACCGTCGCTAAAGTTAAGTTCAAACTTTGATATATTCTCTTAAATACTGTTTATTGAACTATTGATCGAACTAATATTGTTAAGGCAATACTACTTAATTTTTTATCGAGCAAGTGGATAAATAGGGCTGTGGGAACACGTACTAATCATGAATTCATGCTAAGTGGGAACTCGATCGGATATAGTGTCAGTAAGATTGACTAGAAAGTGAAGCCAGAATGGCAGAAATCATGTGGCACATGATGATCAAAAATTGTTATTATGAAATTTATATTTGTTTTTTTACATAATATTGGATCCTAGGCCGTGGCACATGAACCGACAAGGGGATGAGATACGGCAAACATGTGAATGGTTAAGGTTAGGTAATACTAATTATTTTGTTCTCCAAACAATGAATATAACATATTACAATCTTTATAGTTTAGAAATTTCTATTATGTTAATATTGGGTGTAATTATATGTATATTAGCTTATTGGTTCAAATTACGTGACTTTGTATTTACAAATGTGAATCTCCTGTTATCTTGACTGGGGTTATTCCTTGTTCAGTTAACTCAATTGTTTACTTATTTGGCTTTCCTTCTATTAATACGATAGATCTCATAAATAGCAAACCACGTTTCATCATATACCAACTACCGCACGAACTAACCAAGGCTTTGATTGCAGGCATAGTGTATAAATAGATAGTAATCATAATATGATGAGTCTTTGTAATTAGCCATAACATGGTACATGATTCATGATTGTACTCGCTACAAAAAGAAATTTGTATTCTGGTATGATTGCAAGTTTCTCAAACATGCATGGTACACTACTGCTTTATATACCTAGACTAATTATGTCATGTCGGATAGGATTTTAAAAAATTACAAATTACTCATTCATAAATTTTAAGATAACTGCATTTATCAGTTTAAATTACAGATTTCTAATTAAACTGAAAAAAAGAGTAACGAGATATCTCATTTGCAATCCATGAATAATATTTGAATTAGTATTTAAAATTTTGGACTACTTCATAATATTAGTGCAAAATGGGTTGAGATTAAGTATAAAGTTGTACGGAATGCAGTGGGACAGCAAACGAAGATAGAGGGGACAATGTCGGGCCATGCTGCGTTGGAGGAGGCTGGAATTCGAGTGTTTTATTATGAATCTCATCTTGTGTAGTGTGAACTTTATGACCATCTCTCATCTCCATATTCTATCATCCACTCACCATATAGAATCAATTATACCCATCTTTATATCCTCCCAAATGCTTTGTCGGGTCGGGGCGTGGAGACCCTTAGGGTTGAGGTTCAACCTTTGGAAGAATTATACCTATCTTTGTTGATGCTATTAGAGCATCTCCAAGGTAGCGCTATCCCCGCAAAACTCAACTGCAAAACGGCAAAAATTAAAAATTTCTCACTCCAAGGTACGTTGCCATTCCGCCATAACGCCAAATTAATTGGCGTTAATGAACAGTGCCGCGCCATATTTGGCGCGGCACTGTTCATCCGCGGCAATTGAGAAATAGGAAATAATTTTACCCTTTTGCCCTTACATTTTTTTATAATTCCATATGTATCATTTATTTGTTTTATATGTAATTTTTTGTTTTGTTAAATACTTATATTTAAAGTTTGTATTATTAAATATAAATTATACCATTTGAAAGATCTCATTGAGACGATCGAAACAAGACTAATATTGAATATATATTAATTAAAATTTCAAATACATTAAACATAACTAGAACATAATAAAAGATAAAATACATACGACATACATCAAACATGACTAGAATATAATAAAAATTAAAATACATACGACATAATAATAATATTAGAAAATACAACACAATTTTGAAAAAGTTTGTTAAAATTAATAATTTCCTAATCCACTCCCACTTCCTCCTAAAATTTCAAAGTATTTATCAAATTCACGATTTGATTCAACTCCTCCTCCTTGCTCTTGATTTCTCTTTGCAACAATTTGTAGTTGTTGGCATCTAATCGACTCACGCACAGCTGGATCTTCTATCAAATTTAAATTCATTCTTAAGATTTTGTTATCTTCTTTTCGTTTTGCCAATGCTATTTTTTCTTTTCCCAATGTTATTTTGTTCGCTACATTTTGAGCTTTAAGCAAATCAATCTCATATTGTTTTTGGAGTAGCTCATGATTGTTTTCGAACATTCCTTTGAATTGTGCAGTTTGTTGTTCCATTGCGGCAATAAATTGATTGCGCTCATCCGAGAGTTTATGCTTCATCTTTTCCTTCTTCCTTCCCGTAGGACGTTCACCTACATTGTTCATTTCATTACAATGTTCATCAGTTTCAAAATCATCATTCAAATCAATAGCAAATGAGGAAGAGCCTATTGACTTCTCGGTTCCAAAAGATTGTGATTGTGATCCTTCAGAAGTTCTTTTTTCGACCCCCAGCATTTAGCAAGCTTCCAGTTCTGCAAAATTTCTGCATGTCTTTGACAATCGGCCATACATGATCAAACTTAAATCCGCCTTTGAATTTGGGATCTTACTTTACTAACTCCTTTGCTCTATTAAGCTGTTATAAATAAAAATATAATTCCAATTAAACAACACAATTAAAACAAAAATAAGAGAAAACTAAATAACACAAATTTACAAGATACTCACAATATCTTGCTCTGATGCACCACTTGGGTTCCTGTTCTCTATTTGTTGAATGCACCCTCTTAGTTTGCTAATCGCTGTTGATATATTTGCCCAACGACTATTCAACGATCTTGAAGTTCGATCGGTACAAATGTGTGCCGGTATCATTTGTTTATATTCTTGTGCAATGTGTTCCCATAAATCTAATGCAGAGCGATCATTGCCCTTTTCAGGATCTTGGGCAATATCCATAAATATAGTACAAAGGAGTTTATCTTCTTCATTTGAGTATGAAGAAGTTCGGATTGAACGTGAGGGTTTTGACATTTTCAATGACTATTAAACTAGAAAGAAATGTAAAGAGATATTGATATTCAAAAGATAGGTAGTATTACTTCTAAAATCAAATTGTAGTATTTATAGAGATACAAGCATACCAATGAACGGATGTGATCTTCGCGATCTAATCTAACAGTTCTAAACATTTCAGATAAAAGCTTATTCAAAGATGCATGTGATCTCTTTTATTGGAGTATGTGTAGAAAAGGACAAGCATACCAATGAACGGATGTGATCTTCGCGATCTAATCTAACGGTTCTAAACATTTCAAATAAAAGCTGATTCAAAGATGCCTGTGATCTCTTTTATTGGAGTATGTGTGGAAAAGGACAAGCATACCAATGAACGGATGTGATCTTCGCGATCTAATCTAACGGTTCTAAACATTTCAGATAAAAGCTGATTCAAAGATGCATGTGATCTCTTTTATTGGAGTATGTGTGGAAAAGGACAAGCATACCAATGAACGGATGTGATCTTCGCGATCTAATCTAACGGTTCTAAACATTTCAGATAAAAGCTGATTCAAAGATGCATGTGATCTCTTTTATTGGAGTATGTGTGGAAAAGGACAAGCATACCAATTAACGAATGTGATCTTCGCGATCTAATCTAACGGTTCTAAACATTTCAGATAAAAGCTGATTCAAAGATGCATGTGATCTCTTTTATTGGAGTATGTGTGGAAAAGGACAAGCATACCAATGAACGGATGTGATCATCGCGATCTAATCTATCGGTTCTAAACATTTCAGATAAAAGCTAATTCAAAGATGCATGTTATCTCTTTTATTGGAGTATGTGTGGAAAAGGACAAGCATACCAATTAACGGATGTGATCTTCGTGATCTAATCTAACGGTTCTAAGCATTTCAGATAAAAGCTGATTCAAAGATGCATGTGATCTCTTTTATTGGAGTATGTGTGGAAAAAGACAAGCATACCAATGAACGGATGTGATCTTCGCAATCTAATCTAACGGTTCTAAACATTTCAGATAAAAGCTGATTCAAAGATGCATGTGATCTCTTTTATTGGAGTATGTGTGGAAAAGGACAAGCATACCAATGAACGGATGTGATCTTCGCGATCTAATCTAACAGTTCTAAACATTTCAGATAAAAGTTGATTCAAAGATGCATGTGATCTCTTTTATTGGAGTATGTGTGGAAAAGGACAAGCATACCAATTAATGGATGTGATCTTCGCGATCTAATCTAATGGTTCTAAACAATTCTGATCATGCCTATAAAACCGTTTTTCATCACCAACAAATTGAGCATTCATCCCCTTATCATCTATCTCTAAATATACGAATTCAAATATGAATTTCAACACTGGAAAACGTCCTATGCCATCTTCATCATCATCCTCATCTTCCTCATCCTCATCATCATCATCACCAGATTCTGAGCACAATCTCGCAAGTGCAATACGAGCACAAACACAGTTATTAACCCATACATATACTAGCCACAACCTTACCATAGCTTCCTACATGGAAAATATGGATAATCAACCCCCAAGGCATGGAGGTTCGACTTTTGGTCATAGAGTGATTCATCATGATCGTGAAGAAGCAGATCGAAGATTATGGAATGATTATTTTTCAGAGTATCCATAATATTCTGAAACAATGTTTCGTAGACGATTTCGAATGAGCCGAAATTTGTTTCTACGAATTCCCAATGCTGTTAAAGGCCATGTCAACTATTTTGTGCAACAGAAGGATAGAATCGGTAGACTGGGCTTATCTACTTTACAAAAAGTTACAGCGGCGTTTCGAGTTTTGGCGTATGGAATACCAGCAGATGCAGCAGATGAATATATCCAGATTGGAGAATCAACTACAATTGAAAGTTTGAAGAGATTCTGACGAGCAGTTGTAGAGGTCTTTAGGGAGCGATATCTAAGAGCACCTGATGCTAATGATGTTGCACGGTTACTTCAAATTGGCGAAAAACGTGGTTTTCCAGGGATGCTTGGGAGTTTAGATTGCATGCACTGGACATGGAAAAATTGTCCAATTGCCTGGGCTGGACAATATGCTGGGAGGAGTAGAGAACCAACTATTATTCTTGAAGCTGTAGCCGATTATGATTTGCGAATTTGGCATGCACATTTTGGTATGCCGGGATCGAATAACGACATTAATGTGTTGGAGGCATCTTATTTGTTTTCAAATCTTGCAAACGATATATCACCTCCTTGTCATTATGTTATTCAAGGACAACAGTACAACACTGGATATTATTTAGTAGATGGTATATATCCAAAATGGTCCACATTGGTACAAACAATTCATGAACCTCGAGGGCCCAAAAAGAAGTTATTTGCGATGATGCAGGAAGCGTGTAGAAAAGACGTAAAACATGCATTTGGAGTTCTCCAATCATGATTTGCAATAGTCAAGTGACCGACACGTTTTTGGGATTGGTTGTAGCAAAAATAAGATGTGAGCTCGGGTGTGAAATATCGTCCTCAGGGGATTGGAGGATATGGCACGCAATATGCAATCACAATAAACTAGGCACTAGCATAAGGAAATCAACAAGAAGCTAAGCAAACTACAAGTTTAAGGAAATGATAAGACTAACACATATACACAAAGATAAACATAAAATAAAGAAATAGGACTCAAGCTAGGGAGCATTATCATCTAGATGCTTTAACAACCTAAGGGGTTAGAGAGAACAAGTAACCAAGGAATCAAGCGGGAATGCATATAGGTATCCTAGTCTACGAACCATTCTCATGATTAATAAACAAAGATTAGAACAAGGAATTGCCCCACTTTCGTGGTGAATCAATTCCAAGTCCATCAAGCACACAAAGCATCTAAAGCCCCCAATTTCCCCTATTTTCGTAGGAAGAAATCGGGTCTATGCAAGGGGTGGCTTGGATTCATCACCCAACTCTCGTTGAGGCAAGGAATCCTCCAAAAACAAGCTAATGAATGTGTACATCAAACATTAACAAGATATAAATACGAAACCTTCACAAACACATGAACTCTAGATTGGAGTTCTTCCCCCTTTTGCAATAATCACAAATCAAGCATCAAGATAGATAATACAACCCTAACTCAAGTCCATAAACTAACTACTCATGATTCAATAGCATAAAGAACACAAAAACATAAATGTAAAGTATAAACATTGCAAGATAAAGAGATAAAAGGGAGAAGAAAACTTCACTAAGAAATGGATGGTAAATCTTGGAATCCAACTGTTGAATCCTTGATTACAAGCTTGAAAAATGTTAAGAAACTTAAATCTAAACCTAATCTAACACTATAATATGAAAGGAAGTGAAAGAGAGAAGCTAGGGCTCAACCATGGGTGAAAACCAAGTTGAAATGACACAAAAACGCGCCTAAATAGGGCAGAGCACAGTGGGACGCCCTCAGGGATGGGCGTACGCCAGGCAGTACCATTTTGGGTGCATTTCTAGTGAACACTGGAATGGTCGTACTGGCATGCGTACGGGCGTACGGCAGGGCGTACGCCACCTGCTTCATTTTTCAGATCTTGGATGGGCTGATGGATGGGCGTACGGGAGGCAGTACGGTACTCTTGAAATTTCTAAATGCATTCCAAACTCTTTGATTGATCTCTTGGTCCAAGATTGTTAGGATCTTTCCAAAAATCATTGAATTTCTCACTTGTTGTGAATGATTGCACCTTGAAATAAAACCAACATAACTTAGTCACAATTCACACAAGTTTTTAAGCAATTCACAAATAAAATGGATTCAAGAAGGGGTAAAAATATAGACAAAAACTATCAACTCCCCCACACTTAAACTTTTGTTTGTCCTCAAGCAAAAACATGAAATAAATCACTATCCTAGCAAAGAAATTGATCACACTCCCACTTTGCACAACCTATCAAACCACAATCCAACTTGTTACAACACAACTTGTTTCAAGAATCATTTTAGCCTTCCACACAAGTTCAATTCTCAAGCCAATAACCAAGCACCAAAATTATTTAAGTGTGTGATGATCAAGTGTGCACAAATGCTAAGTTGAGATTATGCAAAACTTGGCTTTGAATGAGATTCCATAGGCTTGCCCTTCATACTCCCACTATTTCAACTCTAAGATTGCATGCTAAGATCAAGTAGGTCTTTATTAGGCTTGTAATGGGGCTAAGGGTGAAAGGTTAACAAAGAAGGGGTATAGGAATAAAACAAATGAGAGAACTTCACATTTATTCACAATTGGAGCTAGAAGAGATATAACTTCTATGGACAAAAGGAGCAATTTATAATTGACACAAAGCAACACTCTAAAGAGGTAGGGGTTGAGTACAACTTTCAACACAAACTATAATCAATCTTCAAACTTTTATTCTTCTTCCTTTTCTTTTCATTTTTCTCATTTCTTCTCTTTTTCAAGACTTTTTTCTCAATTTTCTCATCATTCTTTTTTTCTTTTCTTTTCTTTTCTTTAATTCAAAACAATAAACAAACTTATTCCATGAACCAATACCCCCACAGTTAAACAAAATTATCAAGAGGATTGCTAACAAAACAAGCTCCAATAAAGATCTCTTCAAAGAAAAAGAATAAATGCTCTATTCTCTCAAGGGTGGAGGGAAACGTTTTGGCTAGGGGTTAAGGGTTAAATGATGAGGGTTAACACAAGGAAAAATAATCACAATGAAGGGACAAGTGCTTAACACTTATTAAACAAACACAAAAGGCTAAACGGGGACAACTAGTGGTAAACACATGTGTAAAGGGTAGGCTTGAAAGGCTCGGGCTAAACAAAAATAGCCTAAATCATTTCTAAACATGCAAATCTTAGACTTCACTTGGAGAGTAAGGCAAGTTCTAGCAAAACAACCATGACCGGAATCTCACATAAGCCTTCACTAGCAAAGCATAACACACAAGATCAAGAATTAATTCAATTATTAAGTGGTTAACAAGGTTATTGGCAAGAGAATAGATCAATCATGTATTACCCCTTGGCTCATCAATCACAAGTTGAATTGCAACAAGTTCCACCAAAACAAACCACAAACCAACAAAGAGGGAGTAATCACAACTTCTAGCATAGAAAGACAATTTATTCACAAAATGTACAATGAGTCATCCAAGCAAAGTTTCAAAAATTTTCAAAAAATTCCCAATTTTTGTCTTCCCCCCACACTTAGAAAATACATCGTCCTCGATGTGAAAGACAACAAAGAACAAAGGGGGAAGGATAACACAATAAGCACAAAGAGCACAATCTCTACTATCTACACCAAGTAAAGCACTATACACAATTAAAGAAAGTAGAGAAGGTAGATGAGACTCCCCTAATGAATCTTCTTTTGTCAAAGAATCATCATGAAGCCTTCTTGGAATTGAGCGTACTCCTTCGTGTCATTCCTAGAGTCAAGAGCATATAGACATGAAAGCACAAATGAAAGCAAGATATATCAAAAATAAAAGTGTAAAGAAAAATAAAGAAGAAATTAAAGTGCAATAAAATTAAAGATAACATGGGGTGCCTCCCATGAAGCGCTAAATTTAACGTCGCTAGCTCGACTCAACCTCTCAAGTAAACCATCAAAGGATATGAGAATGAAAATCCCCTTCTTTACATCGACCTTTTCTTCCAAAAAGCACTTCAAGTGGTAGCCATCAATAAATTCTCTTCAGCTCATCTTCACCACTTCAAAGTTTAAGACATTATGCTCATCCAAATCAAACTTCAAACATATCTCTTCCTCAAAGACATTTTTAATCCATAAGTCAACCAAGGATTTCTTCCTAAACCTTGGATCAAGATAGTAGCTATGAACTTGATCCTTTTCTTGATCTCCATTTTTTCCTCTTCTTCATTTTCTTCATCTTTGGCAAGAAGGTAGAATCTTAGGTCATCTTCATGCACTAAAACAAAAGAAGAATCCTTGGATATGAAAATAGGCCAATGAGGGCCTCCACTTTCATAAACATTGACACCTCCCGGTTCCCAAGTTATTATAAAGTTCTCACCCAAGGGAGTGTCATCCATTGAAGGGCATTCCTTGTTTGTGCCACATATTTCATCAACTTCATCTTTCTTAAGCACTTCTTCAATTAGACCATCTTCAAGTTGTTCCTTATCACCATTCACTTGCAACTTTACACTTTCTTCCCAAATTGGTGTTTCCATCTCAATGCACTCATCATAAACCTCATCATCTTCATCTTTATCCTTGAGATCCTCACCTATCTTCTCATTTGCTTCAACCACATGACCTTCGTTTGGCAAGAGCAACTCTTGTAGAACATCTACATTGGAAGACAATTCTTGAACGGGTTCTTGAGTTGTCAAACCTTGTATTTGAGCCATCATGTTGTCTAGTAGAACTTGTTGTTCACTCATTTGCTTAAGCATGTTGGCCATCATAAACTTCATCTCCGGATCTTGATCAAATGATTTGAATTCTTGTTGAGGTTCTTGGTACTGGACTTCTTGAAATTGGTCTTGATATTGTTGTTGAGGTTCTTGATATAGTAGCTCTTGAAGTTCCCATTGATTATTGGCATATTCTTCCTCACTTGGTCTCATGGGATATCCTTCATCCCCAATGTCAACATCGGGTACAATAGTGACTCCCCAACGCCTAGCCAATGCCAAGGTCTCCTCATCTACTCCAAACCTCCCAACACTTGGTGAATGGATGTGATGATCATATGAGGGTTGAGTGTCTTGGGGGTTTGGTGTGTAATGAATGGGTGAAGGGTATGGATTTGGAGAGTAGTCTTGTGGTGGGAAAGGATGTTGAGGTGGATTGTAGTCTTGTGAACATTGAGGGTATTGATCATAAAAAGCATATTGGGGATCTTCGTATTGTTGAGGATATGGATTATGGTATGGAGGTTGGGAATGACAAGGTAAGTCTTGATAGGATTGTGGTGGGTAAGGATCTTAAAATTGAGCATCATGGTAGCTATTTGGAGGTGGGGCTTGAGGTGTACAAGGATTAACGGATGGAACATTATAGTATCCTTGTTGAGGCATGTAGTCTCCAAAGCCTCCATAAGATTGAGAGCTGTAATATCCTCCTTGATCCATCTTGAAAAATTTCTTTCAATCAAACCAAATAATATAAACTTGACAAGAAAAAATAAGCAAATAAAAAAAAAACTTAGTCTCCTAATATTCCCTAAAATCTAATGCTAGTAAAACAAACAATCACATAGAACCACCAAATTACCAATCCCCGGCAACGGCGCCAATTTTTGGTGTAGCAAAAATAAGATGTGAGCTCGGGTGTGAAATATCGTCCTCAGGGGATTGGAGGATATGACACGCAATATGCAATCACAATAAACTAGGCACTAGCATAAGGAAATCAACAAGAAGCTAAGCAAACTACAAGTTTAAGGAAATGATAAGACTAACACATATA